ACCCTCTCGACTTCAAAATCCAGAACTTTTCGAGTATTTCGCTTCTTTCCTTCCTGCTCTCCAATTTTAAATGCATTTTTTAGTCCAGACTATTTTCGTGAAAACCGTTTACCCAAAAAAGTGGTTTCTAGCCCCATTTGCAGTTCTTCTACCACCACCCCACACCCTCTTCCCATCACTACCAGTTATTGTCCTGTGATTCTCTGCACAGAGCTGGAATCAGGCTCCATTTTTCCCAGCCAAAACAGGTTCCACTCTGCACTGGAATAAAGCGGATTTAGGGGTGACCGGGGCTGGTCTCACCCCAATCGTTGGTCAGAGTTCTTTGAGAAAACCGCAGTTTTTGGTTAAGTTATTGGGTGTTACACAGGAGCAAAAAAACTGCCAGGTGATGCTTTGTGCACGAAGATAAACTATTGTTAGTGCTGATTTCATGAGGCAAAAAACACCTTCCCTGCTATTTTGACGGATTTTTACAAGGAAAATAAATGCCCGCACGTATTTCATTCACATTGGTGTTTTAAACGAGTAAAACTACGGATGTAATTGCAATTGAAGAGAATGCTCTTAGTAAATCTCAACGTGCACTGATTTATCACCTGGAAGGAGACAAAGGTTTTTTGTTTTAAAGGAAGTGTTCCTCCGGACCTGAGTGAAGCATCCTCCTCTCACGCTGCCAGGAGATGCAGGAGATTTCTCTGTGTATTTAATAGGACTGATAATGACCGCCACGGCACTTCCCCACGCTGGGGAGCTGTGGAGGTCCAGGGTTTGCCTTTGTATTAAAAACACCTTGCAAATGTTAGATTTGGGTGGTTTGGGGGTTATTTCGGTTGGGAAAATTTTTTATGCGTTTGTCCCATTCTTGGCTGGAGAGGGTAAAACGATTCTGAAAATTCGGGTGAGAAATACATGCGCAAACACACACAAACACACTTTTTTTAAATTTTAATTTTGTTTGGAGGAAGCTCCAAAGTAATTGCGGTCATTTTGTAATTGCGTGAGATTCTGGTTGTTTTGGGGTTTTTTTTCCTTCTTCACAGAAAGCAGGTAGCATAGAGACACTCTTAACTCCTAAACCCCCAGAGATTTATCCCTGCCTGCCCCTGGAAGCGCTCGAAGGCAGAGGGGGGATTTTGCTGGAAGGGTAATGTCCCTTCCTCCGCTGGGACACCGGGATGTGCAGAAAGCAGCAGAGCCCTGAGGAGAGAGCTCCGGGAAGGACCGGCCCCTTGCACCGGCTGCACTCTCCTGCAAGGGTTAAATTCCGAAGGCAAAGACAAGGCGCACTTTTGTTTTTCCCTTAACTCCTAAAAGCCAATAGTGGAACCAACTCTGGAGCTACGAGCAGTTGTGACACAAAATGTAACACAAAGTCCTGGTACGGCTGTGCACAGACACAGGAACACTTCCAGCTACAGGGGAAAAATATCTGTGGATGCCTGTTTACGAGACAGACAGAGAAAACGAAGGAATTCGGTGAATATACTGGTCCTGGGGATTATTTAAGACATTTGACTAGTTCCATCATAGGGACACCAGATGTTATTTATGAGATCTCGTATAAATGTGGGCCATACCATGCAGGTAGGGAGGGAAAACGCAGAGAAAAGAAGCCAAAGAAAAGAGTTCACCCCAAAGGGATGAAAGGCAAAACTGATGTTTATAACTACATAAATCACGCTGAAGTTTTGTAATGGAAGCTAAAACTACCTGAGTTTAAAGGAAGAGAATGGGGCAGGGCAGGAGAGGAGGAGGGAGGGAAGGTCCCTGCTGGTCATGGCTGGGAAAGCAGATGAGAGCCCTGGGGAGGGGAGGTGGTGCTGAGCTGGGGTACGGCTGGGCTTGCTGGGGTCACCACGGCTACTCTGGGGTTTATCCTTTACTGGGAAAGGTGCGAGGAGGAAAACCAAGGCATAGGTAGATAGGTAGGAAGAGAGAGAAAGAGAAAGAGAAAGAGAGAGAGAGAGAGAAAGAGAGAAAGAGAGAGAGAGAGAGAGAGAGAGAGACAAAAGAAAAGAAAAGAAAAGAAAAGAAAAGAAAAGAAAAGAAAAGAAAAGAAAAGAAAAGAAAAGAAAAGAAAAGAAAAGAAAAGAAAAGAAAAGAAAAGAAAGAGAGAGAGAGAAAGAGAGAGAGAGAAAGAGAAAGAGAGAGAGAGAGAGAGAGAAAGAGAGAAAGAGAGAAAGAAAGAGAGAAAGAAAGAGAGAAAGAGAGAAAAGAAAAGAAAAGAAAGAGAGAGAAAGAGAGAGAGAGAGAAAGAGAGAAAGAGAGAAAGAGAGAAAGAGAAGAAAGAAAGAAAGAAAGAAAGAAAGAGAGAAAGAGAGAAAGAGAGAAAGAGAGAAAGAAAGAAAGAAAGAAAGAAAGAAAGAAAGAAAGAAAGAAAGAAAGAAAGAAAGAAAAAGAGAAAGAGACATCAGTCTGATCTTGTTGAAGATCAGTAGGAAAATGCAGTGGAGATCAGCAGGAATATTCCTGCTTTCCTGACACCGCGTTTCCAGAGCCCAGTGCTGCAGTGTCCGAGCTGGCTGCAGGGCCCGGGGGAGGCAGGACCCAGCTCTGCCTCCCGAAACAGCGAGCTGCACTTTATTATAAACAGACACATGGATGTGCTTTGAATCTGCAACCTTGACACAGTCGCCGGGAGCCTGGGAAACTCGGGATGAGCCCTTCCTCGTTTTGTCGGGTCCCGTTTAAAAGGAAGCCCTGGGTTTCCACAAGCGGGTCCTTCTGCTGAGTTAGAAGAGAGCTTTTCCCGGTGCATTTGTTTTTCTTTTGGTTTGGTTTTCTGGTTTCGTTGCTTCGGTGTTTTGGTTTTGCTTGTTTGTTTTTGCTGTTGCTGGGTTTTTTTTTTTGTTTGTTTGTTTTTTGTTTTTTGTGTTTTAATGCCTTTTTTACATAACTGTTGCACAGTTCTTGAAACAGAGAAACTTCCTTGATCCCTCCCTCTCCCTCCAAACAATCTCCCCCAGACTCCGCTGGGAACGGCGAGGGCTGTTTTGGGAGGTTTCATGCAAAACATGTGCTCTACTAAAAATAATACTATCGGTGCGATTAAAACAAAAGCAAACAAAACAAACTAAAAAAGCGGGGCATGCAGCCTGGCTTTAGGGAATCAGCTCAGTTTTAGGTATTCCCAGCCCAGCGGCATCCTTACCCCCACACCTGCCCGCAGCTGCTCAGAGGGACCGAGGAGGGGAATTTTGGGGGTCCCCGCTCCCCGCCCTGCAAAGTCACGGTAAAAATTAGGAAAGGGAAAGCGGGGGATGCCCTTTGCTGTTTCTCCCGCAGCTCGGCTGCTCCCCCAGCTCGCTTTCCCCGTGCTTGGACCCCGGGCTGTGCTGTCCCCGTCCCCCACTCCCACCCACCCGCCTCCTCCATCCCGGGCCCCACGAACTTGCTCCGGGCGTTTTTGCCATCACACCACGGAGAGAAAGTAGGTCACGGCTGAGTCCGAGCCTGGCTGAAGCCGAGGCAGCCGAGCCTCGAAAGCTTTCCCATAGAACACACTTTGGGCTCGTCGTTTGCAATGTTGTTTGGTTTTGGTTTTTTTTTATTATGATGAAGATGATGATTTATTTTGGACACCATGGGCGATCAGCTGAGCCGGCTCCCGCAGTCCAAGCTGGAAGGAGAGGGAGAAGGGAGGTAGTTTGGGAGATGGAGGTGGGGATGGATTTATTCTTTGCTATTCCCCCATCCCCTCCGAGAGAAATATTAAGTTGCAAAAACCGATGCACCGCCTGTCAGGGCTCCTGCACCTCTCCGTCTGCCCTCTCCAAACACGGACCAGCAGATAAACCCCAGCCCAGGAGAGCCCTCAGACCGGCTATTTCTCTGAAATAGTTCACCGCACTAAAAGGGAGCCTCTAAACCGGTTTTCCACCCTCAGGGCTCCGTTCGAACACACGTGTGTGTTTGTTTTCAGAGTGACTGTGCGGAGGGTTAAATTGACAGTCCTTTCCAGGAAAAAAAAAAAAAAAAATACCCGAAAAATTAAAAAATAAAACAAAATAAAAAAATTTAAAAAGAAACACAGTGGGGAGGGTGGAGGGAAAGATGTTTTCTATAATCCCAGTAAAAAACAATTAATTAAAAGATCCTGAGGCCCTGATCTGGTCCCGCTCCTCCTTTCCCCAGCCGCAGGGTAAACCCCGAGTCAGAAATAAGTTTTCTTTTGAATATTTCCTTTTGCTAATTGCCGGCGCTGCAAGTGTAGACCCAAAGGTAGAAAATAAACCCGCACTGTGAATACGAACATCACTGCCGATCTCTAGATAAGAGTATATATAAATATACATCTATTTACAGACATCCAGGTATGCAGAAGCGAAATGTACAGTTACAATAACATAGCGGTGGGAGGGAAAAAAAGTTTGCTGAGCTGCAGGCTTACATAAAATTTTCTTTTAGCGGTTCAGACTTTAGAAAGAAAAAGGTTTACTCCGAATTCAGCTGGTTAAAGCAAAATGAAACAAAAGCTCACGTTAACATGACATGAGGTTTATTATAGGTCTGCTTAGAATGAAGAGGTAAGAATGGGAAAAAATATGGACACTTTTGAGTCAGACAGAAATAAAATACCAACATTTCTGAGAAGCAATATTTATTGTCTTTCTTTTTTTTGTCTTTTTTTTTTTTTTTTTTTTTTTTTTTTTTTTTTTTTTTTTTTAATGTAGAGACATGTCCTGAATTTCCCCAAAGCCTAGATTGGGAAAATAAAGACTTCTTGGCATTATAAGTAAATCCGTCTGCAGAATCGAAGCAGCACCAACATTCAAAAAAACTGAAGAGGAAAATACAACAAAACACAACAATCTCTTTTTTTTTTATTCTTATTCTTATTATTTATGTAAATCAGGTCATCACTGGACAAGAAACCAATTTCTACCCATTACCATAACAGCTTGTCTATAAAGAACAGAAAAGATTCAGATAGGATACTATCTAGTCAAGCGGGATTTTTTTTGTTTGTTTTATTTTTTTCTTTCTTTTTTGTTTGGTTTTTTTTTTTTTTTATACTTTTCGTTTTTAAATTCCCCCACCCATTCACAGAGGTATAGAGTCACAGATAAATAACCCAAAAACTACTTGCTCGCCATATTTACACATTCCCGTTAAATTAAGCATAAATAAATATATACAAACTCAATACTGAATGCCTCTCCACATATCTTCTCAGGAAGAGTCGATAAACTGATATTTCTAACTGCATGGTCAGATTTTTCAAGAAGAGGAGGTGAAAGGGATCGTTTGGGGCATAAAAGGAGAAATTTTTTATTATTTTTTCTTTCATCTTACCAGTTTCTCATTCGCTTTTTCAGAGCTTTGCATTTGTTTGGGTCTTTTTTTTTTTTTTTTTTTCTTTTTTATTCTTTTTTTTTGCCTTATTTCTCGCTGGCACACAGTGTTTCATCTCTCTCGAAATGTTCAGGCGTTTGCCAGTGTGTTTGGGGATGTTTTATTTTTTTTTTTTCCCTTTGTATAAGAAAATATACTATTTGTAAAAAGCCTACGGTCTCTCTCACACAGGGAAGCCGGAGGGGAGGGGGAGGTTGGCTGGGTCGATCTGGTAAATGCTTACGGCAGCTGAAACAAGCACCAAATTCTCAGAGAAATGTATTAAAGCAGAGGCGGACAGGTCTGTGTGATAAACCGGTCAGAGAGGAGCAGGGGAAGGGAAACAAGCCCTTTGGGCACAGCTAAAGGTCTTAAAACCATCCTTCCCCCGCTCCCTCCCAGCCCCAAATGCAAATCTGGGGATTTGGGGAGAGACTGGTCTGGGATGCAAAGGGACTTTTAAACAGCTTCTCACAGAGAATTTCTATTAGGTGGGACAAGACACAACCCGATTTTAAAGAAACCATCGGGTTGTAAAAGGATTCCCATAAAATTGGCTTCTTGTTTCCCTCACATCTTGCGTAAATAACAACCAGGAAAAAAAAAAAGTCAGGGAGCATGCAAAAATAAAGATCTTTCCAATGGCAATTAAGGAATTGTTATTAATAAAAAAAAAAAAAAAAGGAGACTAAGAATAAAATAAAATTTACAGTAACCCACCTGTTTGGTTTGAAAACAAACTTTTCATGGTCTCTCCTCAAACTTTTCCCTTGAGTTACAAAGCAAGGCTGCCGTGTTAATCCTCCTGTTTATTGATTTATGATCCCGAGGAAACCAAATCTTTTAATAACTCAATTATGAGATAAACGTCTGAGGTGCTCCGCCAACACAAGTAGTCGGGCTGGGAAAGTGGAGGGGAGCAGGAAAATGCCTTCCAGAGGGAGGCTGAGTTTAGTTTGGGGGTGACTTCTGTACTCTGAGCACTGAGAGGAGCCACCAAGCAATGGATAATTCCCTCTGGGACCAAGACTAAGCTGGGAGAAGGACAGAGAGCTATGCTCCTCTCCTGTTCTCTGCCTGATTGCATTCAGTCATAAACCTCGTGAGTTCTGTCTCCACACTTTGGGGAGCAAATGGAGGGAGGACATCCCACTGCAGTCAATGGGAATTTGGCTTTATTTTGCCTGAGCACTGCACAGTCTGGCATTTGCAGTTTGTCTCCTCCAGGTAGAAGGCACAAGGGACAGACTGAAACTCTTCCCTCAACCTGCTCAAGGTTTAGGCGTGGTCCAGGTGACCAAACCTGTGTCTAGGGGAGATTTCAGCAAGAGCAGGATCAGGCCCTCACATACCTAAGTCTTTCCCCAAGAAGTTCCCCAAGGGTTCCCTGTCCCCATTAATCCACAGTGATGGTGGGATACTGTCGTGTGCAGCTGAAAGGAGAATCCCCCACATTCCCCAAAGACAAGGAAAGGCCATTCCCAACACGGCCCCAGAGCCTTCAGCTGGAAGCTCTGGGGTGGCAGGGGGCAGGTTCCCATGGCCCTGCACATGCAGCTGGGGATGTGGAGGACTGAGAGCTAATTTGTTCTCAGTCTAATAAAGTTCCCCACACCCAAAAGCCCCACTGGGCCGGGTGATGCTGAAGGGCTGGACCCACAGGCTCCTCATAAATCCTATTTACAGGGGGAATGCAAGGCAACATCCAACACTTGGCTCTCTGCTCCAATAAACAGGATATTCCCATCAGGCAGAGAAGGGAACTGTGCTTCCAGGTGGGGCCATTTGTTCCTCCCCAGATCGCCTCTTTCCCTTGCATCACTGCTGGGCCACTGGAGCCTGAATTGTCCTTCCCCAGAAGCCTGATGGACTTGGGGTGGTTGGCAAGGGGTAAGATTTGGAGGACTGGGGGCTGCCTGGATGTTATTTTTCAGTCTGAGAGTCCCCAGCCTGCTGGTGGGGATCCGTGATTTGACCACCACACCTCCCCTGGTGACATCCACAGGGATGTGACAATCCCTGCCACAACCAAACCCAGGTTGGTTGTCCCTATCAGGGACATGCCAGGGTCTAAGGCTGCCTCCAGCTCATCCCAGCAGCTCATGGAGAAGGCTGCCTGCCTCGGTTCCCCCATTTTCTCACAGGAGAGCCCCCACAGCACACTGCCCCAGAAGAACCAAAGGTACATGAGCAAGGAGCAGCTCAGGAGGGGCCACTCCTCCTTGGGGCTGGATGATCCCTGGATTTCCATTGCCACCTGTGCCCAAATCACGAGTAGAGAACAAGAGCTGAGGCCTGGCTGCATGAAGATCTGAAAAGCAGAGCAGGCCCTCAGCTGTAACCACGTCTCACAGAGCCAAGGGACAAGAGGATAGTTTGCTCTTTTGTTTTGAGAACATTTCATCAAGGGATGTTGAGAGTATTGCTGAATTATTTCTCCCTCACTCTCCACTTTGGAAGGTATCTCAAAATTAAAGCAAGGCTAAGGTTTCCCCTCTCTCTCTCTCTCTCTCTCTCTTGTTTTGAGTTCAGGTGTGCCTGCTTGGGATGGTGGAGCTGAGTCCTGCAGCTTTCACAGGGATCTTAGGGGGAGGCCTGACCCCACTGGAATTTTGCCAGTGGCTCCAGGAGATTTACCCACACCCAGTTCTGACATAAGCAAAAAGATGTGTTAGTGCACAAGGCCTGCCCACTGAGAAACACATGCAATTACCCGACACGGCAGAATCCAAACAGAAATTCATATCCTTACACTTCAGCGTTATTTTTACCAGAGAAGACAAAGAAACGTATGTTGAAAAAAGAAAAAAGAAAAAAAAAAAGAGAGAGAGGAAAGAAATAAGACTTCCCCTTCACCCCCACCACCCCAAATCATATGCATAAGACATCCTGTCAGACACCAAACCACCAAGAAAAACATTGGAGTTAAGAAGTTTTTTCCCCCCTTACCACACTGACTTGTTCTAAAGCAAGAGTCACAAGACATTTTTTTTTTTTTTTAAATAAAGCTTTCTAAGAGAAACAGATTTCCTCAGACTGAGCTCAGAAATCAGGATATTCCCTGGCAAACCCTCCCCACTCCCATCACGAGGAGCCAGCTCACATGGCAACTCTTTCCTCCCTGGGTACAAAATCCTAGTGCCAAGCAAGTGCCGTAACATTCAACACAGCTCTTATTCTCTTTGCAACAGTACACCTCGATTTCAACTTATATTTTTATCTCATTCAAATTATTCCCTTTGAGCTTCTTTAAAGAAGTGCACCTACAGAATTCAGTAACAACTGGCTTTGATTTGAAAAAGCAAAAAAAGCAAAAAATAAAAAGTATCAGAATATCAGAATTGTGGATTTTTTTTCTCTGTACCTGATATATTGTGTAGGGATCTCTAGTCCTCTTTGAAGAAGCTCATAAGCCAAGCGGGCAAAGCTTTAGGAAACAGAAGAAAATAAAATAGTGCATACTCCTGAGAAAGAATTACATACTCATATCACTCATTTTTTGTTGTTGTTAACAGTTCTTTAAAAATGGGGGAAGAGCTCTCTCACACACACTAGTCAAGGAAATTAAGGACTGAAATATTGGCATAGTTAGGAATATAAAACTCCCTAGAGAAAAAGAGATCTCAGAAAATTAAGAAACCAGATAGCGCTGACATTGTACCAGACCTTACTTCCAAAATTTTGCAACCCATTATAGACAAGGCATTTTACCATCAAAGACAAAAAATTACTAAATTACAAAGGTATGTTTGCATGCATTAATATGCGTGGCTACGCACACATATTTTATATATATTTATATATATATATATATGTATATATCCACATATATACATATATATCCACAAACATACAGGGGATACCCGCGCCCCCCTGGGGAGCCGGGTGTGCACATACACAGATGCACGCACAGAGGCACACACGCACCCAGACACACCTGTAAACGCTGCCAATCTAAACAGAGAGTCTGTCTAGACCAGGAAAAAAACACAAAATAGTTCTTAAAAAATAGAGCTGGCAGATTCATCTGAGCCACGGCGACCCCGAACGTCCCTTCTGGTGGCACCGAAAGTTAAGACGCTGCCGTGAACGCAGCTGGTGTTGATGGCTTGGTGAGGGGTCTGGGAGCTCCCCTCCTTTCCTAGTCTAGACAGAACCAGGGTGGTGAGATGAGGTGGGAAGAGCTGAGGGGAATGAGGCCATGGGGCTGCTCAGAAAAGAACGTTCTGGAAGATTGTTTTAGTCTAGGTGGAGACAGGACGTTGTTCAAAAGAAAACAAAACAAAACAAAAGAATAAAACAAAAAATAATAGCAAGACAGACCGTGCAGCTCAAGAAATCAAAGCACTGACACCAAAAATGTTTCTCCGATTTCTTCCAATAAGTTATTCATTTCTTTCTTTTATTATTATTATTATTAATTATTATTATATTCCCCTCCCCCCCAATCATTATTTAAAAAATGTGAAAGAACAGAACGGGGGGAAAAAAATCCTGGTAGTTGTCTTCACATGTTCCTGGCAAGAGACTCTGAACCACTGGTCTTGCGCCATTGTGCTCCTCTGATCTTAAATTATTGTCTTTCTTTTATTATTATTATTTTTATTTTATCATTATTATTATTATTATTTTGTCCTACCTAATAGAATTCTTCCAAAGCCCAATCCAGTATTTTTAAAGCTAGAATTAAGACGGTTTTGTTTTAAAAGATTATCTCTCTCTTCTCCTTTTATTTATTTAACTTTTTTTTTTCCTTTCTTTCATTCTAATTGTTTTCCTCTCTCTCTCTCTCTCTCTTTCTCTCTCTCTCTCTCTCATTTTCTGTGTTTCTCTTCCTTGTCTCCAGTTTTACTACCTGGTCCTTCGCCAGATGTGTGCCTGTTAGCAGTGTTGTTGTTCAAGAACATCTTGTCCATGCCTTTGAGAGCTTCAGTCAGGTAGTTTTGGAGGGCCGTGAGGGCAGCGCAGATAGCGGGGGCCCCAAAGCCGTGAGTGATGAGGCTGAAGTGAGTCAAGCAGCTCTGAATGCCCGGTTCCAAAATAGGGGTGGGCCGGCTGTTTCCAATGGGCGTCCTGTCCTGGGCCAAGAGATCTGTAAATTCTTTACAAAGTTGCCTGCAGGGAAGACAGAAAGGCAAAGAGAGGGAGAGAAGAGTGGTTGTTAGGCTCATCCAACAATTCTCTGTGACAGCCAAGGGGCAGGTTCGGGCCAAAAGTGATCCCAAGACATGGGATGGGACCCTTTTGCCACCATCCTTGATCCAGCTGTTCTTGGGGACCAGCCATGGTGAGCCAGCAGCTCCCTGCTTAGACTGATGCCCTTCAGGGGATAACACCAGCTCTGGAGATTAAAATCTCTCCAGCAGCCACAAGGATGCTTCTGAAGCACTATGAAAACCCAGCCCTGCCTGGTGGCTTCAGGAACAACCAGGCTGAAAGGGAAATGTCTGGATCTGCCAAGCACCCATCCTCCTGGAGGCCTGAGCCTGGCTCAAAGCAGCTCCCAGAGAATTTCTACACTCTTCCTGCAGGAGAGCACAGCTGTGCACTGAGAGCTATTGGGTGGCACAGGGACCTGGAGCAGGGAAAGGCTAAAACCTCTGAGAGCCTCTCTGAGACTGCTCAGGCTGGGCCAGATTATTGAGAAAAATCAGGATTTTGGGTCTCTGTGCTGGCTTATTTGTGGCATGAGAAGCCAAGTGAGCACTTCCCATTTTATTCTGGGGGCATGGCACCCCAATTAACACATCAGAATTGACATCTGGCTCTTGGTTGTTTGCCTGCACCTTTGAAAAATCAGATTTGATTTTTCTAATGAATTCACACACAAACATTTTCTTTTGAATTACTCTGCTCCAAAAGACCTTCAAGTCAGCAGGTGCCTGGGCAATGCAGAAACCCTGGAGGCTGGTGGGGTTCCCACAGGAATATTTTCTTTAAGGATACCCAAAGGAATCAGGTTTTTTTAAGATAGGTGCCTACCCAGGGAGTGGAGATAAAAAAGACCAGATTTTGTTTTTTTTTAAAAAAAAAAAAAGGAAAAAAAGAAACCCTTAAAAAAGACATACAGCTCTCATCTTCTGAAATTCTCTGAAATTCCCAGTGGGTTAAATGTTTCAGAGGGTGGGGAAAGATAAAGGTCTACTTCTATGTGTATTATCCATTAAGAAAGTGCAAGAGAGGAAACTTTGAATTTGGAGAACAAACAGTAATGAGTCCAACATTTTACATCTTCAAAGAGCAAAGCAGGGTCTGTGAGCAATTAAAGTTCTGGGACATTAATATCTTCTGACCCTGTGGAAAAGGGCAATCAAATTCCAATCACGTCTAAGAAACATCTGGACAAATTTGAGCAAATGATTTTTCAACCCTCCATATATTTCTTTAAATTACACTGTCATCGGAGGCAAGCCACGTCCCAGAGCATGAAATAAATGAGAGCTGTTTGGGCTGGGATTTTTCTTTCTTTATTTTTTTCCCCTCTTTTTTCTTCTTGGCAGATGAAGATGTGTGAACACTCAGGACCCACTGCCAAGTACCCTTCAAACCATGAAGCACCAGGTGAGTACCTGGGAGGCACAGCCTGGTGTAAATCATCACACACCGAGGAAGTCCCAAGGGAGAGAGATGGGCTGGGGGGGGCCCAAACAGAGAATCATTAGCAGTGCATGGTGGTGGGCTTTTATTTTTATTTTTTTTTATTATTTTTTTTAATATATATTTTTAATTAAATCATATGGGAAAAGCATTGCAACTTGGTAGCAGACAGACAGGTGTGTGTGAGCAGCAGGAGGGACAAACAAGCACACTGTGGAAGCAAAATATAAATTTTTGGTCCACTTTGCATAAAAATTATTTAATTGGGGGTGGCTTGGAAGTGATGTACATCAGCTAGGGGAGCATCACCTACAACGTCTATAGGGGCAGGGTCTGGTTGGCAGGAACCCCACTGCAAAGGATGCAGAGGTCCTTCGGGCCATTCGAGCATCCTTCCTCCCCGCGGGGCTGCTGGAATTTAGAGCCTGGAAATTCCGTCTGCTTTCCAAACTCAGAGGAAGAGTTTGAGGGCAGGGAGGATTTTTCTCCGAGGAGGGCAGAAGGGGATGAATTAACTTGGCACTCACTTTGTAGCAAGCAGCATGTTTTTCCTGGAGTGGAGGTCGCTGGGGTCCGTGTGCTGTCTGTTCAGGTACTCAGAAACAGCTTTGGCTGGGAACTCCGTTTCACAGATGTACCCAAAATCCCGAGCTAAATGAACGGCCTCACCTGGAGGGAACGAGATGGGAATTAAGACCTCCGGGCACCGCCGGCCCCGGGCTGGGCTGCTTGGAGCCGTGTTTGGAAACCTCTCCTCATCCCTTCCACCTCAGGGACAGGCTGCAGCTGTGTGGTTTTCCCCCCAGCAGCCCTGTTGTGGGGACAGAAGTGGATGGGACAGATTTTGAGCTGAGGAGGTTTGTCTTTGCTGCGCTGCTCTCGTGTCGGTCCGTACCCACCAGCTGCTTGTGCAGAGCCGAGGGAAGAGTTCACACACACACCCACCACAAACACACACAAAACTTTAGCTGGACCAAAGGAAAATGCGAGAGGAAACCGGTCAAAACCTGAAAAACTAAGGACTCAAACTTCTCTAAAGAGCAGAGAAACTATTTCTGTTTCAATACCTCAGAACATTGCTCAAAATTTGACAGATGCGGAGATATTGTTAATATTAATGTTAATTCTTTGTGGGACGTTATAGGAACACTTTACCCACACACAGGGCACTCGCATTATTATCACAGTTATCCCACATCTGTAAAATTACGGAGATAACTGCATTTAGCCCGATGGCAATTAACAACCTGCATTTTTAACTGACCCTCATGCAACAAGGACTCCTGTCTGCCGGGTGGAAAGATAACAACTAATGGCAACTTTTTCTGTGAACAAAATAATTATTATTCTAATTCTAATTCACTTTTCCTGCCTGCCTGGTTTCGGGTTTCTTGCCTACAGAGGTTTGTGTCATCCAACTCCTACTGATGTACTTCATGCCACAAGAAGAAGACAGTAACTGCAGAAAGGAGGAAAAGAGGAGGGGGAAAAAAAACCCCTCAGACTCTAGAGGGATTCCAGCAGATTATAGCTCAGCCCCTCTAGAATAAAGCGTTAAACCCTTTAAAGCATCGCCCGAGGGACGAGGGGGAAGATTTCCAGCAAGCAGGTATGTCTAATAACTCCAGGACCACGTTATTTTTAACTACCAGGAGTTGCTTTCCAACGTCACGTCCTGCTCTCCAATGCTTCTCGCTAATCATCAAACCGGTTAATGAAGGCAAGGGCAGAGCCTGGAGGGGGTCCCGAGCAGGGCAGGGTCCTCCCAGGCAGCGCTCGGGCACCGACCGGAGCGCTCCTGCTCCTGGAGATGCAGGAGCAGCCATGCTAAACCTGGCTGCCGGCAGGAAGGAGAGGGGAAAAAAAAGAAAAAAGAAAGAAAAAAGGAGATAAAACTCCATCAGGTGCAGCTTCTTCCAAAAGGAGGGAGCTCTCTGGAGGCAAAGTGTTGATTTGTAAGGGAATCAGGGGAGAGGAGGGGAATGTACACCTTACTGCACGCTTGACACAGATTTTAGCATCACTACACAACCCCACCGGCTTTTGAGCCTCACAGCAGCCTCGGGGAGGGGCTGGTGCTGCTGTGGGCAGAGCTCACGGTGTTCGGCACACACCGAGGGGGTGAAGCTGCACTAACAGGGCTCTCAAGGACACTTGTGCCCCCCGAAATGATTCACACAGCGAGACCCTTTACCCGGAACCCACCCTGAGCCGTGCTCTCGGCATCACCCACGTGCGGGTACCAGACAGAGCTCAGCCCCCATCCTTTCCCGAGCCTTCCTCCAGCTCTGCAAGCAGCGAGGTCTTGTCGCTCACATAACTCAATCCAAAGAGTTGAAAAGTTAATATCTAGCACAAATATTTATGCTCGCTTTATACGCAGAAGAGATAAGTGGATCATTTATACGCCTCTCGGTGTGCATGTGTAATGTAGACACATATAATTCATAATTGCATCCATACTATTCCACTTAGGTTTCTTTTGGAGGAAGTCCAACTTCTCTTAACATAAACACGCACATAACTCTAAACTTATTAGTGGCTCTAACTTTTCCTTGTCGATACAGAAACCACAAATCAAAGAAACACGCTGGCCACCAAAATGACATTAGTTGACTTGAAATGACTTGAAACTTCAGTCTGACCTTCCCTCTCTCCTTCCTCAGGAGTAGCTGGTCTCTTTTTTCAGCTCCAGCCACTTTAAGGGAAACTGAGTTCTGCTACTCTTAAATTGCCCTGCTTTCTTACCAAAAAATTAAAAAAAAAAAGAAAAAGAAAAAATATTTTTAACAAATAATTTTGTATTATTTTTTCCTCTCTGAACATCTTGTAGAGGCCATAAATCAGCTCAAGAGGAGCGAATTAGCGGGAGGATGGAGCAGACCTGGAGCTGGAGATCACAGGGTGGAAATGAATAGCATGAGGAATGGGATTGCCCTGCAGAGTTACACATGCACACAAGTGTTCACACACATATCCACACGTACACACACAGACACACTCCCTCCCTCCTGCCACCAAGAGGGATCACTGATCCTCCAGACAGATCCTCCTCTTTTTTGGGAACTGTACCCTCAACAGTGATGGAGCTCCTCCTAACCCACCCTGATTTTCACCTCCACAAGGTTTTCCCACCTGATCCCAAAAGTTGGTGGGGTTTTTTTTGTTTGTTTTTGTTCGGTTTGGTTTGTTTTGGTTTGTGACTGTCAGACAGGAGCTCAGAGCAGGCAGGGGTGTGAAGGGAGCTGCGACCCTCGGCTTACCTTCCACCAGGGAGGTGAGTAAAGTGACATTTGCGGCCTTACGCCTGCCGGCTGGTAAATTCAAACCGATTTTTTCTAGCCTTTCTCGCAAAGATCTCCCCCCGTTTTTCGATTTGGCTCTAGAATTGCAAAGAAATTAACATCGTGATTAACCCCGCAGTGTTCCTGGAAGAAACGTTTAGTCTGTGCAGTCAGCGAAGCCTGGGAGGGTTTTCACTCAACTTTAAGGACTCTGGGGGTGTTGATTTCTGCTCGGGTTTGCTGAGATTTTCTTAATTCCTCCCAGGAGTAGAAGTGGGGATGAACCCACTTTTCTCCCGATTTTATTCAAGGAAATCAAATAACATCAAACAGCAATAATTAATGGAGATGTTCTAATCCAGAGAGCAAGTGGGTATGATACCAGCTTGTGTTAAGATGTAGTAAAGGGATGGGCAGGACGGTAGAAGAGGATTAAACCCTCCGAGTTTATTCCGAGGGGATTAAAAAAAACCCAAATAAATCTGAAAAGTTCGAAGGGTGTGTGTGTGTGCGCCTGTGGATATATCGAAAAGGAGGGAAATATTTATGAAACTGTTTCCCAGGCTGTGAGTGTGTTCCTGTGCGAGGAGGCGATGCTGAGAGGAAGAGCTCACCTGGGGCAGGGTGCTGTAAGGAGGGAATGGATTGCCTGAGGGACCACTGGAATATCTGTCGGAGGTTACTGATAAGGGCAATGAAAGAGTGAGTGAGCTCTACGTGGGAAATTCAGAGCTATTGTTCGAACGCCCATACATATGTAAACCCCCAGGGATGAAATCTTGCCACCTGCGAAGTCAGGGAGAGTTTTGGCACCTAAGAACAAAGTCTAGCCCAACTCTCTCCTAATTCTTACTTAAAATTGGTCGAAGAATTAGAATTCACACTTAGGAAACCAGAAGCCAAGCTGGCTTTCCACTACTCTACATCGAAGTAAATAGGGCTGGATGTCAGAATTGCAAGAGAGCAGCTTTCTATATTTCATCTGCTCTAAACCAAAATCTTGTTTAAAATTTAGATTCAAGATAGGAACTGAAGTCAGCAGCAGCCAATAATTATGGCTTGGGCCACGTCCAGAAATCTGTTAAAGTTCAATAATAATGCTTCTTTACCTTGGTAATTATATTTTCTACAGAGCATCTCTCAGATGTTCTCCCTGCTCCATTTGTAGCCTCACAGAAGGAGCAGGCAGGTTTGCATCTGTAAGTAAAAATCTCTGCTGCTCTCCCTGGCAGCTGAGCAATGATTACAGACATTCACATGGAACAGCAGCTATTTTAGGAGACCCTAATTCTCACGTGTGTATTTGGGTGACTAAACACATGTAGCAGAATTTTCCCCCTCGTCTCCAGACACGGAACCAGAGCCCTTGACATCATCACAGAATTTTTGACGAGGGGGGAACCCCAAACATCAACTTCATTTTAAACCACCTTAGAGCCAACGTATTCTAGGGGCTGCTATAGGAGTTTTCAATATATTTCCTCCTCTAAGATTAGCAACTTTTAAACGTGATCTGAAGTTTATTCATTGTCAATTTGCATGCATCTGTCCCCGTCTAAAAGTTCTGATTTTTATTCCAGTTTGGTGTCTACCTCACACACAGAAAATGACATCTTGTACCTTCTCAGCCTGAGTGTGTGAACTGGTACCTCATATCGTTCCCTCATGGCTTCTCTCCTGTTTGACTGGAGATAGAGCCTGAGCTCATCTTTCCTACAGACAAGCCCTGCTGACAATTCACAGCCCCTCAGGCACTGCCAAGAAGAAAAACCCCTTTCTCCCTGGTAGCTTTTCCAGCTAATGACCTCAGAGTTTAAATTCTTGTTGCTGCTACATAAAAGCACAGTCTCCCACTTGTTATGATGGAGTGGCAACAGGACCTCAAGGTTATTCCTTGCTCCCCACTTTCTTCAGTACCAATAATGCCAACAATTTTGAGATTTTCAGCAAAACCCACCAGGACATTAGTGGGTGATTTACACAAATATTAAGCAGCAAAAGCCTCTAGACCAGCTGGGAGCTGTAGCATCTTTCTCGGTGTGAAGCACTAAGTTTCTGGCTCTCAGAGCTCCCTGTTGGTGGCTTTTCTTTAGTCGGGCACTTGCCTACCTTACAGTTTGCCTATCAGATCCCTGCCAATTTCATGTGTGACACCACGTGCCATAATTGACATAATTGCCTGATCGTTATTGTCATACAGAGGAAGCCTCGTGGGTTTATCTAGGAAATCCCTAGAAATACATCAGGTCCTGAAATACTGGCAGTTCAGCCTGAAACACGCCCATCATGGCATTTTATCTTGTCCACTTTCTAAGAGAGAAGTGTGAGGAGGAGAAAATATAAAAAGTGTGTGTGCATGGACGAGGAGAAAGTCTTTCTGTCTCAGTTCCTTCGTTTGTGGATAAACAAGGCCAAATCTTTCTCTGCTCTCCATACCTTCATCCCAATGTTTGAACACAGCATATTTTTGCCTTATCCCCAGCATTACACACACAGGCTCTGACAGTAGGATCAATGCATGTTTGAAATCATCTTTGCTGTTGACCAAGGATTTCTGGTGCATGCATGGAGGCCCAGACACACTGACACGTTTTCCCCAGCCTCTTACCTTCTAAGTACTCCTCCTAGGAGGGACGCGTTCAGACACTCTGGAGGGGAAAGGCGTCTTTGAACTTCTCCCACAGTTACTTTATACTTTGAAGTTGAGCTAAGCAAAGACAAGCGGCCAGGTACAGAGCAGAACACCTCTCCGGTATTGACTGAAATTCCACCCAGGAAGCCATCTTTATTCATCATCAAAGAAGTAACAGATTTTGGAGGAACCGGAACTGGAGAAAGAAAACGGGAGGAGGGGAGAGAGAAACCATCACGCCACGAAGGAGCACAGGATAACCACAGTCTCCCTGACATGCACAGAACAGCAAAATGAAAGGGAATTTTGAATCTCTGGCTACCTCCAGCAACCTAAAGGGTGCTGCTCCCCCAACCTCTAGGAAAGTGCTCCATGGATGATGGATGGAGAGAAGGGTGGTACAGTACAGCCTCTATGCAGGGTTTGATCATTGGGAAATAAAATACATATTGGCAAGCACCTGGCAACTTTCGGGTTTGAGCCTGTGTCTCACCCAGAGCCCCCCGATGCCTTTTGTACAACGGACAGCGCCTTTCTGGAGGGGAAAAAAAGAGGAAAATTTACTTTTTTTTGGCTAATGTTTCCATTTACTGCTAAGCTGAGCCAGGAATAAATTCACTACACAAAGGGAGTTGCTGTCTTAAATAAGTATCAAGGCTGGAGGATACAGCAATGAGAAGACAGCTCTGTTATTGCTTTGTGTTTTTATTAAGTCTGGTTTATGAAATAAAATGAGCCTTTTCCTTCAGAAAGATGAACACCAGGAAAAAAAATATCTGGTCTAACCATGGTGCTCTCCACTCTGATCATATTGTGCTGTCCGTGAATTAGAACTCTCCTGCCCCTAAATTAAACTGATTTAGTTACTGCAACATGTATTTAAAGGTAGTTATAGGGAAAACTAAAAGGAGAATGATAAAGTGAAACTAAACTAAATAAAACCATGTTGTTCTCTCCAAGATAAAAAGAAATATTTCTGAGAAACCAGTGAGGTTATTTTAAGAGCAACCAAGGGATTATAACAAACAAATTCCTATAATAGCAACCAGACACACTCAGAAATAAACAAAAAAAAAATTGGTTAAACTAAAACTGAGAGCAATTCCCCCATGACATGAATTTTGTTTACAAATGAACTTAAATAGCTCCCTCATAATTGTGTGTAACTGTTATGATTTACAGCAGGTGCTCTAATCAATCACCCAATCACTTTAATTTATAGGGAGCCTCGCTGCATTTTCCCAGTTGTTTCATTTCTGCAAGTAATTGATAACAAACCATACTTAAGGTATGTTTTATGCAGGAGTTAATAAGAGCTGACAGCTGCTACTGCAGCTTCCTCTCAGATCCACGGCAACATGCGTTTCCTTATAGAAAATATACGCTGGAATTGGGGTTTTTGCTGGTGAGAGAGACCTGGCAGTCCAGCGGGCATGTTTCAGAGGAGAAGACTAATTGATTACACACCCTCTTCAAGCAGATACTGCTCCACAATCTCCCTTTTCCACTCAATCAATTGCAAAACCAATTCGGCAAATAATAAGGTTCTATTATGCACATATGCCAGCTATTTAGGTAGTTATAATACATGTCAGTTAAGTCATAAAAGCCCTGTTTATTTGCAACATATCTGGAGAATCAAACCATTAGGGTTGAGCGGATATTTAAGTCGTCTGGAGTTGCTAAACAATAAGATCGGGTATCCTAATATATTACCAAGTGCTAACTACTGGGCAATTGCCAAATTTATAACCTCAGTGCATGGAATAGACACAACCGTGTTTCACTGTTTTTATTGCAGATCATTTCCTACTGCCAGACCAGACCCCCACAATAAAAGCTCTATAACAGCTAAAAACCAAAAGGCATGTCGATTTTAGATATACATATTGCTTCGTATGCCTTGTATGTAGTCTCCAGTGTAAACAAATTATTTTGAGTGGCTTGACTTCAGGGAATCGGAAAGTGAAATGGATTCCTATTTCTCTATTATTTTTAGTTAGGCACTTTATGCAGCTCATAAAGGCGGTTTCAAATAGTTTGAGAATGGCTCAGAAACAGTTATAAAAGAGTTAGAGGCCCGCTCCTGCCTTCGTTGCCATTATTAGGCTTTTTTTTTGCCATTGATTCTATAGGAAAAAACTCATCTGTATATCAGAGGAAGTACCCGCAGACCAAAAAATTATATTTGTACTTTCTCCCTCATTATATATAAATATAGCTCTTATTTCATGCACAATGATCTGTTTGAGTGAGGCATCAAGAAGAAAAAAATAGAAATTAAAGTAAAAAAAAAGAAAAAAAAAAGAAAAAAGAAGAAAGTTGGATTGAAGCAGTGCTACCAGACAGAATTTCATGACTGTCTTTTTTTTCTTGGGACAAACACACGGGCTCCGTGGTTAGAGCACACCTTTACCGTGGCTATATTTAGTGACCAGTTTATCAGGTCACTGTCCAGTGAACTGAGAAATTAAACAAGAGGCAGCAATTCCACGAACATCTGATCTTAGTCCAAACTCACTAAAGAGAGAAGGACCCGTGCAATGCTTAAATGTACCTCACCCCACTCGCTTTGGCCTTTTGGAGCACTCATTACATTAGTTAACCTTTGAATTATGGATTTTCACGTGCTCCGTGTTTTTGTTGGGTTGTTGTTTTTTTTTTTTTCCCTTGCAAATTGCTTTTGGGAAACAGCCTGGCTCCCTTCCCTGCTATGCTAAGAGCTCCTCATCTTCTTTTCCTAGCAGTGATTCCCTGAAAAGGTTGGTATGAACAAACCCATCAGCTGCAGCCTGATAGCTCTGAGCCCATTTGAGAGCCTTGCCAGGCGGTGTAAGCATATCCATCGCAATTTCATAGCTTCAGAGAGATCTATTCTATCTAGCCTCTATATCTTCTGTAAATTACCTAATGCTGCCTCAAAAAAGTGTTTGCCATGGAATGAATTATCTCTATCTATATCATATCTATATGTTTATCATGGCTGGAGCTTTTCAGATCCAGCCCAGACATCAGCAGAGATAACAGAACGTGGAGCTTTAGTGGGTGAGGAGATCTCCACGTCCGTGCGTGCAGCTGCATGTGTCAAATCCCTGTGCCTATGTAAATAAACCCGAATGCAGAGTATATTTTTAGCCAATGTCAACTTCCCCAGTTGGTCAGGGACTGCCACAGCTGCTGAAATGACACGGAATAACACACACATATCCACGCAGAGTCCCCACCACCCCTGCTTTCACTTTATCCCATCTAGTTCTTGTCATCCCAGGCAGAAACTGTTCGATTTGCTTTCATCCCCAAACTACTTTCTGTGTGTTTGTGAGCACTCACAAATACATAATTCCCCCTTTCAAAATCTCTGCCTTCTCCCTTCTCTTATACTTCTCTATTTACCTCCTTTGCCTCTCTCTTCCCCCCCCCACTCCTTTTTCATCCCTTTATCTTTTTCCTTCCTTTTTTCCTTTTTTTTTTTTTTCCCCTTTTTTCTCTGTGGTTGCTTCCAGCCTCTTTGTCATTTCTCCCCCTTCCATTTCTCTTCAGCTTATCAATAAACCGGGAGAGCAACAGTAGCCGCTTGATTTGTTAGTAATTATAAGCATACTGTTCCTGCAAACGGGATCTCTAGATGAGTGAGATCGCTTTAGAACGACAGCAGGAAATGGTGGGGAAATGGAGCATGGCGAAACTCAGCGTGAAGCTTTCAGTTCTTTACATGTTTACAATTTTCTGTGCATACATTAAGTCTTAGGCTTTTTCTTTCCTATTTTTTTTTTTTTTCCCTGGTTTTTTGGTGCTGGTTTTCTCTTGGGCTGCTCGCCACAAGAGTGTGAAAATGCGCACAAATGTGAAAGCACAAGTGGAAATAGGGTGAAAAAACATGTTTTGACTACAGCAAAACTAAAGAAATAAGATTTATGTCCTGCAAACAGCTCTTTAATAAGGCTTTAAACCATTGATATTGCAATAACCCAGCTGAATAATATCGTAGTCAGTCAGTCAATCAATCAACAAAAACATTTTTTGCTAAAAATGTCGTGGACAATTTAATTACTAATAAACTCTCAAACTACTTTGAGATTTTTTTTACTCTGCTTATTGGGCTTTAAATGAGTAGAAAGTCCTTTGTCCGTGCTAACAACAGGACTTTAAGTGGTGATTCCGTCTGACTCAGTAGCCAAGCCTAAAACGTCCAGGTAAAGTCTTAGAGGCTGAGACTAAAGGGCCCCGGAGCTGATCTGAATTTTAAGGAACAAATAGAAGATGTGCTCGTTCATCTCGCATTTCCTGCTGTCCCACCCATCCCCTCCTCTCCTCCACCGCAGCCCCCGTTCCCTGAAAGCCGGGAATGAATTTCCAGGTGGAATGTATTCCCTCGAAACTGTTTTGCGTTTAATTAAAGGGGATCCTCAGGTTCAGTGGGTAATCCAGGAATAAGCACGGAAATGAGTGGCATGGAAGCAGCAGCTCATGAGCCCCAGATCCATCACCTGAAAAGCTGAGGCCAGAGTGGTTCTCAGTTAATGATTTATCAGCTGCTCCGAGGGGTGGGGAGGAAACCCGTGCTGGATTATTAACAGCTAAAAACAAAAGGTTAGGACACCTTCTTTCAAGTGTTTCCTTAAAACGGGAGGAACAACGGGGCATGTTTGCAAGACCATGAATTAAGGTCTTCAAATTAAAATGGCCTTTCATGCTAAATCAGATGTGAGTGTGCAGGCGATCGTCAGAAAGAGCTGAAAGTAAATAAATACATCAGAATAATTTTAAGGTCACTGACTCTGCCCCAGAGTCACAAAAAATTAACTTGGGACTCAGGCCATGTAAGGTTTTGCAGGAAGACAACTTCTTTCACCATAGAGAGTGCCAAGGAAATTTCAGATGAGCATTTGACAAGGGGACTCGATCTTTTATTCCTGACACATGGCAAACCTTCCCTTCATTTCAGAAAAAAAGTGAGGGAAAGGCCTCAAAGTGTGCAGCCGGTAAACTCTGAAAGCTGAGTTAAATCTGATATTAATGCTCTTGGCAATTATTATCATCTTGATGATTTATCTGGCTCCCTCCCTCCCACTTCCACCACCCAAATCTTAATGGAAGTGGGAGTTAAAGATGATTTTTTAATGTCTTGTTGGATTTTTAGACTCTTAATGTACCGCATCCTTCTCATTATTAGTTTATTGATTGTTCATTGACCAGCCCCCTTCAAATCGTATTAACCACCCTCTGCCAGTTTAGATTAGGGGAGTTTAAAAAGCACCTTTCATTATTTCAGCGCCACCACCACCACAGTGGAGTTCAGGCTTGGTAGCTTAATGCTCGCTCTAATGGGGCAGCTAAGAGACAAGGGGCCACGGTCCCTGCCTATTGCATTAATAGCTCAAAGGGGGCTAATACAGAAAATTAGCCTTAAACGAGCTCTGGAGATCTCCAAATGAAAGAGCCATTTATCACGCTGGCTACCTTCACTCCACTCGTTTGCTCTCTCTACTGGGAACAACTCATTTCCTCTTAACTAAATTACTTCAGAAATGTCAA